GTTGTTGTTTTTTTTTTTGGGGGGGGGGGGGGGTGGGTGGGGCAAGGAATGGGAGAAATAAGCATTAAATTTCTGAAACACCTACTCAGTTGTGTTTACATATATCTATTTGCATTATGTCCAAATAAATTGCAGTATATACAAGTTCATTTTAAGCCATGTTGTGCTTTTGAGGCTTTAGGGGGTTTTCTTGTCTTTTTGTGTATGTCTAAATGACATTATCAGTATCAGGCAAACCAATATCAGGAACAGTGTGGCCAGCAGGAGCAGGGAGGTGATAGTGCCCGTGTATTCGGCACTGGTGAGGCCGCACCTCGAGTTCTGTGTTCGGTTTCGGACCCCTCACTACAAGAAGGACATCGAGGTGCTGGAGTGCGTCCAAAGAAGGGCAACTAAGTTGGTGAAGGGTCTAGAGCACAAGTCTTATGAGGGGTCGCTGAGGGAACTGGGGTTGTTTAGCCTGGAGAAGAGGAGGCTGAGGGGAGACCTTATTGCTCTCTACAACTGCCTGAAAGGAGGCTGTAGCGAGGTGGGGGTCGGTCTCTTCTCCCAAGTAACAAGTGATAGGACAAGGGGAAATGGCCTCAAGTTGTGCCAGGGCAAGCTGAGGTTGGATATTAGGAAAAACTTCTTCACTGAAAGAGTAGTCAGGCAATGGAACAGTCTGCCCAGGGAAGTGGTTGAGTCCCCATCCCTGGAGGTATTTAAAAGACAGGTAGATGTGGTGCTTGAGGACATGGTTTAGTGGTGGACTTGGCAGTGCTAGGTTAACAGTTGGACTTGATGATCTTAAAGACCTTTTCCAACCTAAATGATTCTATGAATCTATACTGTTACATGGAGTTTTGTTGTTGTGCCTTTGTTACTCCTTTCTGTGCTACAGCTTTGCGTTCCCAGTGTGTGGGGAGAGGCAGCTGTTTGCAGCTGCATTGCTGCAGCATCCTGTAGGTGTTCCTCTGGTTTGGGAGGGGAAAGCATTTCTGGATGGAATAAAACAGGAGATATCCAGTAAAGCAGACATGCAGAAGCCCTGTATGCTGTTAGTTAACCCACGTCAATTAATACAGGTCTTCCAGCAGGTGACTAAACTTGTGATTTAGCCCCGTTCGTTTCCACGCGTAGGTCCAGGCTGATGTAGATATGTGAACATAAGCACTCTCTAACTTAGAGCTAAAGCCATTTTTCTGCCACCCCGCCACGTCTGAGCACATTGCTGTAGTTCCTGGGTATTTGGGATTTTTGCTGTTTGCCTCCCACGTTCCCTGGCTAACTCTCCCTGCTTCTCTCTCTCTCCCCTTTCCTTGCTGATACAGCCAGTCAGAGCTGTGACAAGAAACCACGGGGCTCCAGCTTGTGTTTGCACATAAGCAGATGGGTGTTAACTGCCACCTTTCCCCATCCCTGGCTGGAAGGAGGAGAGGTCAATGTTGATCGCATTGAGAGTTGGAGGTTGCACTCTCAGAGATGGGCGAGTGTGGGGCTGGTGGTGGGGTTGAGCTTGCTTCAGCGGTGGAAGGACAAAGTCCAAGTGACCACCAGGAAACTTCCAGTCTCTTCATTGCTAGGTCAGAATTTGGCAACGTGCACATGATAATAAATCAGGCAAGCGGTGCAGTAGACCCAGTTCTATACGCAATTGCACCATAAAGCTGAAAATAAGAGGTTCTGTGTTATTGGTGCATTGCGATACAGTGCAGATTATGTATAGGGTTTCAAGCAGAGAAATATCAAAATAATAGCTCATTGTTGCTGTGGATTCATATTCAATTCATAAAAGGTATTTGACCCTTTACATGCTACACTGAGTTTCATTTGCTGGAAACCTTACCATCTCTTCCGAATTTCTTAGTCTTTGGTTTAAATCAGGCTTTCAATGGTAGTAATAGAGTGTGTTGCTGAATTTTTGTTTGTGTTTGTCTAGTGGGATAGGTTGTAGTTAAGTGAAATGTGTGGTGTAAGCAAAGAGAAATTGCTGTATGCAAACCATAATTTTCATGTACTTACTGTTTTGAGTGCTGTGATGAAAGGGATGTAACACAGCATTTTTATCACATCAGCTGCTATCTTTGTCTCTCTACCTGAAGGATGGCAAAGGGCCCCCTTTCATCTGGAGGATTATGAGGCCATTATGGTAAACAGCACCACCAGGTTGGGTTGACATTGTTGGAGCTTTCATCTTTTGTTCTAAGTTTTGAAGCATTATTTGTGGTTCTCTTGTTCCCTGTCTCATGACTTGACGTTTAGTGAGAGCAGAGAGCAGCTCCTTGCCAGAGTTGTTCAGGAAAAATCATTAAACTCGGGAGGGAGGGTAGGAGAGAGAAAGAGGGGCCAGGTGAATGCTACCCGCTGGTTGGTGATGACCCTACAGGTCTGGAGCTGAAGCAAAATCAACTTAAGCATGAAACATGACATACTGCCCAGGTTCATGCCTCTAATCCCAAAACAGGGGTCCATCAGCTGATAGATGCATCAACTGATGAAAGAATATGAGGTCAGAGGACGTGAGCAAAGAGACACTGACATAGTGGGCAGTGCTGACTTGTTTTCTGTCTGTGTTTTTAGCCACGTACCCAGTTTCTTCACCTTTAAGTTAGTTACATAAACCCAGTAATTTATGCTGAGAAGTATCTTCAGGGTCCCAAGCCGGGAGGAGCTGGAAGAGGGGACTTGGCTTGTAAACCTCTGCTCTCTTAAAGTATTTCCCTGCCTGGGGGCTGCCTGTTCTCTCTGTGCTAGGATAGATATAAATGAAGTGCTTCCCATTTGTGTGCGCCAGCCTCTGAACGCAGAGAAAGCTCATTCCTCTTGGGTGAACTCCAAATAAAGAAAACTTATTTTATAGTCCACTCTTGTATTTGCCTTTAGTGATTAGTGTGTATTCCTTTAATATTGAAATAAGATTCATATATAAAGCAGAACACACAAGAATATGTCTCTGTAATAACGAGGATAGTGATATGATTTTGGGATGTAGCATTTTTATTTCCTTTCATTGTTTATTGTCACTTTTTCTAGTATTCTTTGCCCAGAATTTCAATCCTTCACCTTTATGCCTGTGTTTATTTAGTATTGCTGCTTTTTCTGTACTAGCAATATGTATTTACATATTGGCCCATCACTTATGTGGTTTAGGGCATGCCTTCAAGCAAAGCCTGTGAATCCAGCAAGGGTGGACCCTCAACACAAATGATAGGGGATGTCACAGCTGAGATTGTGATTTTAAATTCCAGCATCTAAAAATGAATTTCCCTGCCCTGTCCCTTCATGCTGAACATTTCTGTTGCTCCTTTTATATCATATGCAAATATTTCATGTAAAAGAAGAGGCAAGAAGAGTCTGTGAGGAGGTGGAGCCATGGCCACGCTGTCTGCTGGTGCTATGAGCTGCAGGTTGCACAGCCCATACAGGGGAAAAAAGCATCTGTGCTGGATTCTTCAGTTTCTCATGTGCAAGGAGATGTTGTCCCAAGGGAGATGACCCTTGCTGATTCAACAGACCCAACTCAAACTCTACAAATCCACCTCAGTTGGCAGCCAAGTCCCAGGGAGTTCGTCAGGGAGGTGGGTGGATTAAGAGGGCTGGTTTTCAATGGGTAGGATCTGACTTGAAGAGAACATGCTTTCCATGCCAAATAAGATGATTGTTACTAATTCCTTTCTTCCAGAGTTTAAAATCCAGTGTGCTGGCACCTGTCCTATACATTATACATTCCTTCCCAAGCACAGCCGCAGGGCTGTCCATACATAAATCCTCATCTGCAGTTTGACAGCAAGGCGAAAGATGATGACTGAGCAGGGTGGGAAACGTGGTGTCAGGGGAAGCATCAGGATGGGGAGCAGCCTTCTCGGAGGGCATGCAGTCGTGAGAAGAGTGCCGTAGCTGAAGTGCCTTTGCTCATCTCAGTTGGCTTGAGTGTGCTTGTCAAGACTGAGCAATACCACAGACGTAGCCCCACTACACCTTTCTCTCCCTCTTGTGTTTTGCAGCATCCCCTTCAATTAAGCTTCTTGTGGATGACCCGATAGTGGTGAACCCTGGCGAAGCGATCACCTTAGTCTGTGTGACGACAGGAGGGGAGCCAGCCCCCAGCCTGACATGGGTGAGGTCTGCCAGCATCCTGCCCGAGAAGACGGTCCTGAACGGTGGCACTTTAACGATACCTGCCATCACGTCAGAAGATGCTGGCACGTACAGTTGCATTGCCAATAACAATGTTGGAAATCCTGCGAAAAAGTCCACCAACATCATTGTAAGAGGTAAGTTGAGCTGGCAAACTATTGACCTTTATCTTGGAAGATTAATTGAATCCTAATCTGACAGTACAGCAATGATCACATAGTGGTGTCCTATGTTTCCAAGGGTATTTCTGGTCATTTCTAATAGTGTATGAGATGAATTAGTGTTGGCTTCAAATAGCCAGTGGCTCTTGTGCTGGGCTCAAACCCCTCAGCTGGAACAAGGGTGGCATGGTGCCCCTTTGTATTGTGAAGATGCAGCAGCTCTCCCATCCAAACTGGAGAGAAATGATCGCCAAAGGACACCACGTCTTCTGGGCACTGCCTGTGCTGATCCCCTGCACACACTGTCTTGGCAGTGAATGCATCCTGAGCTCCTGGAGATGTCGTTACCTACTTCACCCTTTTCTTCCTCTTCATCAGCTGAACATGTTATTGAAATTAAGGCTGTTGTGCACGCTGTGAATCTGCTGCCATCAGATGAGTGCTCCCTGGGTAGGAGCTTTAGATTAGTACCTATGCTTTAATTATACTAAATAGCAGGATAAATGTCTGTCTGAGATAAAAGTAAGAGAAGAGTGCTTGCAGAACAATTACTGCCAGGTGGAGAGAAACTCTCCCTGGTTGTTTATCGCTTTCTGGATAACCCCAGGGACATGGCCAGTTGGTTTGAAGGAGGAGTTCGATTGGCTGATAGGCATCATCAGAGTGGATTAATCTACCTGAACCAAACAGTTCATCTGAAACTAATTTTCTCTAATCTAATCTGTGAATGGTAGTGAAACATAAAATCCCACACTATAGGAACTTTAAATAATAGCATGTGATTAATCATACTGAGGAGAAACTGCTGTATAAAGACCCAGTGGTGTGAATATTTTATGAGAGCCATAACCCCTGTTCGCTTCTTATTGCCCAACATATCATACTCTTCAGCAGAGCTATTTCTGTTCTGGGGGTCAGGGAGAGAGCATTGCATCAGCCTAGGTCTGCAGGAGTTTATCAGGAGATGTCCACAGATTTACTTGTAATATTATATTTCCATTTGAATTTTTGACATTTGGCTTAGGGGTTTTGTTGTCAAGAGGCAAAAGCAGTCTTGTTTCAGGAACATAGGATCGTCATTAATTTGCTGTGATTTACAGTGGTGATGAGGTTGTGAAGGGGAGATGTGAGTGAAACACACACTCAGAATAAGCAAAGGGAGAAGAAAGGCTTTGTGTGAAAAGAAATCTCAATGTTTTAATTGACCCAGCAGACAGCACCAGAGAGCCCAGAGGAAAAGCCAAAGTCCCTAGCTCCCTGCAGATACAAATTTCATGAGTCATAGCATAATAATAATATGCCCTCAGATTTTTATTTATAGAAGACCGTGCCTATGAGATGCCTAGGAGCTGCAAGATGTTGAATGAAGTATCTTTAAAGCATTTGAGGTGACTTTTTTCTTTTTTTCTCTCTGCTGTGAAGCCCTGTTAATTCTGAGAAGGGACCGCAACGAGGAATAACCCATTAAATAAATGAAGCACAACTCCCTTCTAGCCCCAGCGCATTGCTACCTGCTATGATTTTCCCCTTATTTCAGTTAAAGGGGAAGAACTGTCTTTTAGGAAAAAAAAAAATCTTTATTCCAGTCTTGGTTGATTTATCTTCACTAAAAGTGATGCTGAGTTTAGGAGTGAAATAGAGAAATTCATATCATAGTTTTGATATTACTTTGTGTATATATTTCTTAGTATTTTGCCTGTAGCTCATTGCTTCTCTCTATTTCATCTCTTTTTTTTTGTTGTTGTGTATCAGAATTTTCATGCAGTAGCTGAGGAGAAAAGAGTATTTACTTGAAATAGCGTCTAAGCCTTGCAGGAGAAGCATTTGGTAAATGGAGTTCACATCTTCCGTCAGGCGGACTACCAATCCCAGGATTAGACAATAATCTCCTAATCTTACCCAGAAAGAAATGTAAAGTTGTCTCAAAGCATCATCAGGGCTCAGATGAAATTTGTTCCCTTTAAAATTCACTAAATGTCACTGTGCATTTATCTAAATGTGTTTGTTTTGTATGGGCTTCATTCCATGGATGCTACCTTACCCTTCAGCAGCTCTTGATTTTTTTTCTGGGCCTTTTCCTATCTCTGTGGCTGACTGCCTGAGTCTGTGACTATCCACCACACCTGACTTGGAACCCACTGTGAATGATGTCATATGACCACCATGCATTTAATAATAATAATAAAAAAAAATCTAAAACCAGAGAGAATCCTTCAAAAAGAAGCAAATAAAAGTAAATAAATGAGTAACAAAAGCAATTTATCCTTCTTGAAAGTCAGAAATTATGTGGATCAACAAGCAATAGAGGCGACAGATGAGGCTGTGTTTAAAGAGCAGATTCAGGCATTGAGGTACCGAGGTGTATTCAGGTCAGCTCTGTACTCCTCCATCAATCTTCTCTGAAAAAGTGGGGATAAATATAGTGAAATGGCAAGATGACCAGATAGGATGGCTTGGAGGAATATATATCACCTGAGAGATGGTGCAAAATGTGCCTGTGTGGAAGTGCTGTGTAATGTGTGTTCTCTGCTTCTCCACGGTGTAAATAACTAGTAATATGTGTTCTCCGCTTCTGCAGGTTGTAAATAACTAGATTCTGCAATTGCCATGTGCTGCTGAAGGAGTGGTGGGATAGCAGGTGCCACTAATGGTCTCAGCGGATTGCTTTCCATTTGCTAGCTCCCAGGATTTATCTGGAAGCCTCCTAATACACATAAGCATTTAATATGTTCTTTGTTTTTCCGCTGTTACTTGATTTCCTCCCCTTCCAGTGAGCATTGGCACGGAAGGAGATGTTTGTTCTTAAAATAAAAGTCAGACTAAAGCTGCCATTGTGGCGAGGAACCCGTTTAGTCATAACAGTCTTTGGATATTTTTTTTTTTCCTCTCTTTTGGCCTGCATAACTTAAAAGCAATTGTAAATCCTTTGAAGAAAAACAAGCTGGGTGCTTGCTCGTCAGTTTGGGTGAACCTGGATCCCTTGCAAAACAACAGGTGTTGCACACAGCTGCTGAGGGAGGGGAGACTCCCTCATACGCTGCCTCCTTAAGCAGTTACATTAACACTTTCAGACAAAGCAACGTCCTTTAAAGATACCCCTTTCTTAAGCAAGTTGTAAGCTGCAAACTCTGCTTCCTTTGTCTCCGTTTTGCTGAGCTGTTGTGTTGGTGCCTTTCCCTTTCGGCTGTCAGATGGATATTAATGAAAGTTTTGCTGAGATGATAAGGAGAAATTGTTCTGAGTATTACAATGCCGTTCCTTAAGAGGTACAGACATAGTTCAATATCTCTCATTTCCTCCGTTTGCTTTGAACAGGAGCTCACCAGAGGCAAATCAGTGACCATGTGCTGTTTACCTGTCAAAACCTTAGTGATAAAGTTTTAATGGCATTTTAAAGAATGCCATTATCAGCCTAACTCTACGCAAAGTTATTGCAAAATGTTCATTTCCATCAAAGACATTGTAGTCCATCAAGGTGTCTTGGGTCAAACCAGAGAAAGAAGAAATGCGCTCTCATTTCAGCAAAGCTGGCTGCTCACCAATTCCAATTATGAAAGTTTCCAAGTATTCTCTTTGGATTAATGAGTTCTTTAAATGATTGCAAGTCTGCTAGCATTTGAGTATTGGTGGGTGTTCTCATCAGTGGCATCTTCACATCCTGCTCTCAGACTGATGATTAGAATAGCTTCCTATAACATATTTCTAGACAAAACCATTATAAAGCAGAGGAAGCTCTAAGGAAGCCTTGACTTCTGTCATTCTAGTAAAACTTGTTGGTTTTATCCTTCTCTTAAAAAAAAAAAAAAATAAAAAGCTCTCTCAAGTAGCAAATCCAACACATCCCCTCTGGATAAACAAAGTTCCCGACAACCTCCATGCCTGATGTGTGTATTTCTTGCTGTGCTTGCTTGGAGGATGTTCTGTTTTTCTTTTCCGTGGTAGAGCAAAAAAAATGTTGTTTTGATGCAATGGAAATAATTTGTCATAAAGGCCAGGATGGGGGAAATCTGTTGCACTTCTTTCAGAGTTCTTTCCCACCCAAAATATTTCTGTTAATTTGCTTTCATCATGAATTTGTCACTATCTCTGTTGGTCTCAACTAGAGGTAAATGATAATCAGTCTTCCTATGGATATTTTGTTAATTAAAATAAAAAGGAAACACACACACACACACGTTTGTGTTAAAATCAAATGCAAAACCTTGCTTGCTTACAGCCTTTGGTATGCATGGTGATATGGATACTTCTTCATTACCCACGCACACACAGCTATGCAGAGAGGGCTTGACATTATGGCCAGGAGCTTGGTAGTTAGAGACCTCACCTGTGATATGGCCTCAGGCTCAGTTCCTTGCCTTGATCTGGCATGGGAAGTTGAACATCCAGCTTATCCCATGTCCCAGGAAACTCTTCTAGCCTGAGGATCTTTTAGACTTTGCTGTTGGAGGTTAATTTACTCCTTTAAAATTCTCTCTTCAATGAGTATTTGGAGAGGGAAGCAAAAGGCACTAGCGAAATGGTAATATTGGCCTTGTAATCCTTACAATACATGCATAAAAGCATGATCATCACAATACCATACGGATTTTGGGTGACAATTGGAAATGTCAAAAGAGGCAGGAATCAAGATAATCATATGTCTACGGCTTCTGGAAAATTACACATTTTCAACATGACTCAAACTGGGTACTCAGAATTATGAGAGCATGGAAGAACAAATACTCCAAAGACACTGCCAAGGGGAAAATGAAAATAAAATCTCCCCGTAGCTACCAGTATGTCAATGAAGAATTAAAGGCTATTGACAATGAAGGATGTAAGGTGGCTTCTCCATCCAGTAAGAGAGCAAAAATGCTGGGTAGCATCTTTGAAGGACACCTGTCCATCAGATTGGGAAACAGGTAGTGCCAGAGAAATGTTTTACAGGTCTTAAAATACGGAGCACTGAAATGATTTGGAAGGGTGTCAGCGTGCAC